AAAAAAAAAAAAAAAAAAGAGATAAGTTTGACACTACAAAAAAAACTCTTACGTTCCAACGGAAATTTTTTGTTCGAATTTTTTATATTTCCGTTGGAATAGCTATTGTAAAAACGGCCGTTGGAATAGCAAATATCCAATGGAAAATACTATGGAAATAAATTCCTACAGCTATTCTAACGGAAAAAATCCGTTGGAATTCCTCAACTATCCAACACTTATTCCAACATAAAATTAAGTTTGTTGAAATATTCATTGGAATTTCCAACTGAAATTTTTGCCGTTGAAATTTTTCGTTGGAATTGTAGTGTTTTTTGTAGTGTGAGATTATTGTATGGAAAAAGTTGTGGCAACTGTCACGATTAGAGCTGTAAACGAGCTGAGCTCGAGTCCTTAACGAGCTGATGTCGACCTCTAACGAGCCGAACTATAAAAAATTATATAAAAATTATATTTTCCAGCCTTAACGAGCTGACCCGAGCTAGACTCGTTTAATTTAACAGCGCTATACACGATCGAGTTTTTTAGCATTAAGATTTTAATGTGATATAAAAATAATAATTATTTATTAGAAGTGATTATAACTAAAAAAATATGAGTTTATAAATATTATTTCTTATTTTAAAATATATAATAATTATTTTTTTTTTTTTGATTGTGTTAATGGGATTTGTAGAGAAAAATGTAAGATGAAATAAATAATAATTTTTGCAATATTTTTTATTTTATTTTAGTTTCAATGAGATATAGGATGTGATTGGGTATGGATTTGATTAGTTTTTTTGTTAACCATAGTTAACTAATGTTGATACCGATATGATGCACGGAGTAATACCATAAACATTTTACTATTTAAATATTACTAAGTTATTAAAGACAAGATGCAATTCTATTCTACGCAATATTTAATTCACTAATATTATAAATTCATTTATTTACTATAAATATTTTTTTTTATTTTTTATAGGTCTTGACTATTTAATATATAATTTTATAAAATACTATAAATGTATATGGACATATGATACTTGCATATAAATTACTTACATCTACTTATAAAATTATCGATTATCTTAATACGACTATTTTAACATTTCATAATTTTCACATTGATAGATAATTGACCAACATTTATCCCATAATATTTATCTTCCGTTATTATAATTTTAAGTGCATTCAAAGTTAAAATGTTTGATAATTAAATTTTATTTTTTAGTAACTTTAACGTTTATGCAATACAAATTTTTCATGGTTAAAATATTTTATTTTTATTTTTAAACTTTTTATTCATATTTATTATTTTAATTTATTTTTTCAACTTATATAATGAGTTGATTAATATCCATTCGAATATTTAGATATATTATATATGTTCATGATTACTGATGCTATAATTTAGATTATGCCGAACACGGTTTTCTATTTAGAATGTCTTCATTAATCAAAGATAGACAAAAAAAAAAACAAATATCATGACTCAACTTATCAACAAAAATAAATATAATGTCTTAATTAATAAAAAATAGAAAAAAAATAAATCATTCAATCTATAGACATATATGGAAATTAAATTTCAATTATCTTTAAAGCCGGATAAAATGTCAGCCTAACATAATAATAAGATATAATAAGTCTCTGTCGTTTCGTAAAAAAAAAAAAAACATAATAATAAGAAATAATTAAGGAGGAATAAAATTATTCTATTGTGTGCAAACACGGTTTTCCTCCGCGTGCATTATTCTATAGTTTGTTTGCTGCGTGTATTGTAAGTCCTCCAAAAATAAACCCTCTCCTTGACTTCTGAATTCTGATATGGGCTCTATGTTGTGTCTGTTGTGCGACTTTGTTAGTAACCCAATAAATTATGCCTCAGCCCACATTAATTTTGGGCTCGAATTTGATCTAATATTGGGCGTGTGACTTCTGAATTCTGATATGGGCTCTATGCTGTGTCTGTTGTGCGACTTTGTTAGTAACCCAATAAATTATGCCTCAGCCCACATTAATTTTGGGCTCGAATTTGATCTAATATTGGGCGTGTTCGCCAATGGAATCCAAGTTCAACGTGCCATCAACTCAGAAATTACTGAAAATAAATTATAAAAAGTAGGAAAATGCTACTAGTTTCATTACGGAATCATTCTGTCGGGGATTGTAACTATTTAATAATCATGTAACCGTCGTGTATAGTTGATCTAACGCTTACAAACTCCGGCGGAATGGTTCCGTAACGAGAACCTCCCTAAAAAGTATCAAAACATATAATCCATCCATATTATAAATAGGTCCAAAAATATAACAGACATAAAAAAATTTAAATAGATAAAATATGCAGACTTTTTTGCATATCATTTGTTAATTAGAAGGTTAATAAAGAAGTTAATTAACTTTGATTTTGAGTTTATTTGCATATATTTCATTATTTTAAGTTATGCAAAAATATACATTTAGTTCTTTAATCCTTACCAAACAGCTGAGTTAGAGCTTCACTTTAATTCTCAAATTAAAAATCACATTCCTTAAAGAACACGTACATGCATTTTTTTAAGGGAAATGTTAAGGTCTCGGAATCATTCCGTCGGGATTTTTAACCGTTAGATCATCATGTAACCGTAAGAAATAGTTGATCTAACGGTACAAACCCCGACGGACTGGTTCCGTAACGTGATCATAGCATCTTCTATTTTTTAAAATAAAATAAAAATAATAAAAAAAAAAAAAATACCTTGGTGATGAGTTTTGCTCCTTGGATAGAGTGGTGAAGGGATTAACCATGGCCATTGGCAATACCTTGTTTTTCTTGTGGGGACAAACAAATCAGAATCAAGCAAAGGATATTATAAACTCCATTATTAAGCTCTTTTGGCACTATTTATAATCATTTTCATCTTTAAAAGCTCAATCACTTTCTCATAAACATATACTATCTTTTTGTTCCTCCTCTCCCATGGCAGATCTTTCATTCTCTGATCAAGATGGTTCGTATTATCGTAACCATTCCAATCACATTATGGTTACTTATTATCGATTTGTCTCGTTCGATTCGTGATTTTATTACTTACCCGTTTTCGCATACTTTCGTTCTGCTAGGTGTGTCGAGATCGGTTTCAGATACACCACCTAATCACTACGGCCTCAAAATCCAGTCGTTTTCGCTGCTCGCCAAGAACAACATTGACAAATACACGTCAAGCGAATTCGAAGCCGGAGGCTACAAATGGTTAGCTAGCTAGTATATCATAAATAAAAAAAAATTAAAATCGAGCAAATTTTGCTATATAATATATAATGTAAAAGAACAAAAGATATGAAACTCTGTTTACATGGCAGGAAGTTGGTGATTCACCCAAATGGAAACAAAAATAAAGACGTTAAAGATCACATATCCATCTACTTGTTGATTAGTGAAGAAGCAAATTCACTCGGGCCGGGCTGGGAAATCCGAGCAGTTTTTCGACTTTTCCTGCTCGATCAGAACAGAGATGCTTACTTGACACTTCAAGGTACACGAAAGAAAGAAAAATCCTCGATTCTTGCATCCTCAAATTATTACTATAAGAGAATGCTACCATCCCGTTACGGGATGGTTCCGTTTTGTTTTCTAGCCATAGATATACATGTAATCTAGTGATGGGTAGTTAATCCAACGCTAAAAAACACAGGAACCATCCCGTAACGGGATGGTAGCATTCTCCATTACTATATTAATAAATACTCGTTTTTTTTTCTTCAGACACGGCTAGAAACGGGAGAAGATTTCACAAGATGAAGCCCGAATGCGGTTTTGATAAGTTCTTACCACTCGCAACCTTTAAGGACCCGGCCAATGGATATTTGATCGATGACAGTTGCGTATTTGGGGCAGAGGTTTATGTGTGCCTCGAAAAACTCACTGGAAAAGGAGAGTCTTTGTCGATGCTAAAAGATCCAATCAGCTACAAAAACACTTGGAGAATCCCGAGTTTTTCCAGTTTAACCGAGGAATGCATCGACTCCAAACCGTTCGTTGCTGCCGATAGGAAATGGTACATTTAGTTAGTTACATTTTACCGACTTGAGTTATAGCGTTACTCGATTTCGGAATTAATTTTCATCTGTTATCTAGGAAAATACAGGTTTATCCTAGGGGAAAAGGTAGCGGTGTTGATAACTACATATCTCTGTATCTAACTTTAGCCGAGCCTCAAAACTTGCGTCCGGCATGCAAAATATACGCGGAATTCACGTTGCGCATATTAGATCAAGTTAATCGCAACCATTACTTTGGAACCGGTAATTAAAACAAACTCACGGGCATTCTTACTTATCGTCGTTATTCGAACTTATTGAGGATATATATGAATTTATTATTAACTTTTTGGTTTTTTTTTCGTGCAGCTAATTACTGGTTCAGTTCGTCTAACTCGACTTGCGGCTGGCCAAGATTTGTGTCGAGGAGCTATTTTAATATGTCGTCTTCGGGTTTGGTTTCGAAAGATGTATGCATTGTGGAAGCAGAGATCAAAGTCCATGGGGTGGCTGCTTCTTTATAAGTAGTGTTTATTGTGAATTTATGTAAATATTATGTCTATGTGTAACCCAATAATTGAATAAAAATTTCTATTTCATTTTCATAATATATAGTCTTGTAATATAAGATTCTCAGAAACACACCTTAAAGAGACAATCATCAAAACAACTTAATTTAATTAGTTCTGTTTTGTACACCATATAACTATTATATACTCAAATACAACCTTTGAAGATCTCATCAAATGTAGAGGCCCATTGACCATCATCACCACCTATATCATCACCCATGAAGTCGCAGTCCGGGCCCAACGTCTCACGGATCAGCTCGTCTATGTCGTCAAGGCCCGATGCCGGCCCACAGTTACTCGTTGAACAATGATCAACCGAAGGAGGAGGAGGAGCAACAAAGGTTGAGGGACCCGCAGCACTAATGTAACTCGGTTGCTCACCGTAGTACATTTGAGGACCAAATAACCTCATGGAATCAAAAAAGTCGTCTCTAAAATCAGAGCTCGTCAAACAGGGCTGAAAGCCCGGAAAAAGTCCAGCTTGATGATCAAACGAAGGCACATTGTGTATGGGCTGATATGCATCGATTGGGCTTGGAAAATGTTGTGTAGCTTGGATTTGTAGGCCTGATATTGGGCTGGGCTCGGAGTACTGGGAATCTTCTTCTCTACTCTCATCGATAATTGCTTTTCCGTTGGGCCCTTCTTCCGTTTTGCCAGTCTTGGACATCTTGCAGATGACCCAATTGTCCAGCTGCAAAAATTATGGGATTCATTTTAGCACAAAATAATTATAGAGAAATATATATAATGGGGAAATGCTAACGAGATTTGTAACCGTTAGATTATTATTTAACCGTCGTGGATAGTTGATCTAACGTTTATAAACCCCAACGGAATAGGGGGACCGTAGAATCTCCCTATTTACTAAATGGGAAACATAAATGAACATAAAATGAAAAAAAAAAAATCAATTACCTCGTCTTCGATTCGGAATTCGTTCATTATCCAACCCGACTTGGTATGTTTTTCGGGTTTTCGCCTGTAATAAACGAGCGACTTTTTGACCCCGATTTCCTTGTCTTTGTGTATGATGGGCTTGTCGGCACAGGAGGCCCTCCAATATCCGTTACCGGCGACCCTACTCGGCCTTGACCCACTTTTGTATTTCTTTTGCCTTTTGGTGAAAAAGTACCAGTACTTCTTCCCGCTCGGTTTGTACATGTCTGCATGAATAACACCAAAAAGAAGAACCCAAAAAAAAAAAAA